TACTGACGGAGAACACCAATTCTGAAATGATCAGAAATGGAGACTGGCACACAGCGGACATTTGCCGCGGCTGGGTAACACAGAGGAGAAATAGTGGCCACAAGTCGAGCAATGTACAAAACAGTTTAAGGTCACTTGAAGGAGTGTACAGTCGGGCTACTGTTTCCTGTCTGCGGGTATTCGTAGCTCGTCGGGCATATTTGTGATATGCATATTGACTCGTACGATAAATCGTATTAGCAAGCGGAGTCTTAGATTCAAATGCCATACAGCATCCTTCAAGTGTATCAAGTCCCATCACCTAAGTTTCTATGGGGAATTTATTTTCAAAACGCCATCCCCTGATAAAAGCTATTTCCCCTTAGGTGGTCTCAAGGAACTTTGTGTGCATTGCAGTTATTCGACAGGCAGCGTGCTTGGTGTTGTATTAGGAATAATAAAGTGTTCTTTACTACAGCAGTGAACAGTGATATCATGTTGTCGATGATGATGACAATGATGAGTGCTTCTTTTGATAGATTACCTAGCAAAGTAACTGGTGTTTCTTTTCATAAGATAACTTCTCAGTACTTTCTTCTGGAGTTCTCAGTAGTCGCAGAGATGACGTAGCGCAGAACAGAGGCTTGTGTTTTATACCAAGTTAGTTCTTTCCCTGTCCTGTACATCTTGTGTAGTATGGATGTGAGAAACGGAACCAGTTCACTCAGAACTACTTTAAATCCTCTCTCTGATTGGTTGTTTATACCTCCAAGATAAAGAAATAGAATAATTCGTTCTTCAAAAGGCGTTGTCGTTGACTGCGCCATCCAGGATAGTCGGGCTGCCTCGTGTGAACTAATGCTACGCAGATTCAGAGTCAGTCCCATTTTGCAGTGTTATTTTCAAATTTAAGCCTTGTTAACTTGGTCCCTTTCCACCTGACTGATGCTCAACTTATTTTACTCTACAATCATACATGTAGTAAAAGCATAGCGCCCAAGATGGAGTGCAGTTCAGTTCCGACCACTTTACATATTTACATTTGTGCCGAAATAGGTTGTCACTAATATCAAATATGGAAACGGGTGCAATATGTATATCTTCTCACTTAGGAACATAATCTTTGTAGCGCACAGGAAGCCATTGTATGTCGTCACCCAGGTGAATGCTGTGGTCCGAAGACATTCAAACTGGCGATGCACTATAGCAGCGAAACATCAGGTTGCAGTGTTAACGATGCAGTATTCTGTCTAATGAATTTCACTTTCCTCGGGTTACATTTGACAGAGAACTGGAGATACTTACTGTCTTGCGGAACATGATTCAGTATGATTCGTTCGCGACTACGGTCTTGTTCTTTTAAACAAGTCTGTTTTGACATTTCCGGGGATAAACAAAGAATCCTTTAATGATATAGGACCATCAGAGTAACCGCCGAGCCCTGATATAAGTGCGCAATATACTATAGGTCACAAATTCAGCCCTTCAAATCTCCAAACATGTTTTACTATGTACAGCCTCGTGTGCTGTAGACGCGGGTTCGGAATTTTTATATTTCTCCAGGTGTGTTGGTTCCTTATGTACGATAGTGCTCGGAGTGTTAGACACATTGATTAGTCGATAGAGGTCGAGCAACACCTACTTCCACTGTGCTGCATAAGGTAGTAAACAAAGACAACAGTTCGCAATTGTGCTGGTTCAGTGAATATGCCGCAGAATCAAACAGACGAGATTCCAGATAGTTCAGAGTAGTTACATACATATTGAGACAACCCACAGCGGTAAGCCTTAAGAGTGAATAGCTCTGAGTGTATTTGTAAGGCCCTCTTACTTGACATGTACTATTCAAACTTCGTGAGTCTACATTGTCAATAACTTGTCTATGAAGTGTCAATGCATGTGTATGCACACGGCTCTTTATAGCCAGCTTTTCTCTATTCGTAAACCTCTCAGTTTTTCACCCTTGATAGGAATGGTGCATTATCACCAAATATCGGTTTAACACCACCGAATCTAACCGTTGGATAACGATGATTCGGCCCTCAAACTTGCCTTTTCCACTCTAATTACCTGCATCTCGGGAAAGTGGCATATACCTTGGACTACACGGCTTCTGACCATGAAATTTCGTTCAATATATCCGAGTTCAACAAGTCCTTTGACTAATCGCTTGTGAACACAAAATCGTTACGGTGCTGTTCACTCTTCAAAGCCCTGGGATTGACCAATATAATCGTAGGTATAGAAAGAGTAAGTCTGAGTGAGATTATCAGCCGGCAAGCTTTGCCGATCATGATTTGCACTAATGTGGAGATTCCACTGTTTGGTCCACTGGTTGCTCGTGTCTACATTAAAGACATTCCTTCGTTGCAATTTATAAGCAAGTGATTTTTCGATTCACCTATTCAGATATTGTTTCACGATTGGCTAAGATCGGATAAGGAATTTTCGTACCTCAAAGGCCGCTGTGTGATCACGGTTTGTTGATATGGATGAAGGATTTTGACCGTTCAGAAGCAGTAAGGTTAATGCAACCGACTTGGTGGCAATCAACAATCGTGCAAGAATATGCATAACTGCCCATTTCCGGGGGTTCAAGAATCGGTGACTTACCACAAAACATGCTGTGATCAAATATGCGTGACAAATATTAGTGCAATATTGCGCTCTTGAATCTTCGGAAAATCTAGAACAGAATACATACGCTCCTAATTTTCGTCTGTTTCGTTGAAAATGGATTAAATCGAAGTGTGTTTTAGACTTTTTTCAAGCGAGTCCCATCATTGTACGCCTTCCTAAAAGTACCAAAAGTACTTCTGTCGGAAGTTGATTGCACTGCTCATAATGTGATCTAATAATACCCCTTCGTTATCGTGGCATTAAATCTAAAGTAAATTTGGGATATCAGAATCACACACTTCAGCAAAATTATCCAAGCGAAATTTGTGCACACTTCTTCCCTGCTGAGATTAACCGTTTCGTCATTGACGTCAGCCCCTTAAGGTTCATAGCTTTATATAGATCTGTGTTGAATTTCTTTGCAATCGATCAATACCACTAACATTTGTTCAGACAAACACAGTTGCTTAGGTAACCAGCCTGATTAAAAACTGTAAGCGCCAAAATCCCTGCCAACATATTATCATAATAAGATTAAGACGCCACACTTAGGGAACTAAGTCTGTAATTCCTCATTGGTATAAATATGACAGAAACAGCACAATGCCCCACCCTTCATCCGCGTGCTGCCCTCATAAATTTAGTAAGTCAGCTCCACCCAAACGTCTTGGAGGCGAAGTGTCAAAAACGTTGTGAAGCGTGATCGAACAAAAGGTGGGGATAAATAATCCGTGAAATATGTAATGCACTGGTGAAACGTCCACTAATGACAATGTCAGCAAAATCAACCGTACATCAGGAGTTACGAAATCTTACTAACCTAATGCGCACAGTTAAAGTGTATATGAAAACCTACAACAGAACTCTGCTAGTTTGCTGTTTGGTTATGTGGATGGACATATCTTTGAATAAGCCAGTTCCTCAACAACATCGTCAATTCTCTTGTCCCATTTGACAGATTTGTACGCATATTTACTGAATTCGTGGCCACATCACGCTAGCTGCAAGAACTCAGGATTGAGATGATTCTATTCCACGATGTAGCCATTACGGATGCTGAAAATTGTCTTCATTATCTAAAAAACAATCATTAGATAAATACGCTCATTTGCGAATCAATTTAGTTTTCACAGGAGACTCGAATAAATCTCTCGTTTATGATATTCTTCGACTGAATGTACTGCACACAGCCCGCCTCATGTTTCAGTTGGCACGATTTTCGAGATGTCGCAGTATATTTTATAAAGCAAACTACTCACAAGGTTGTGGAACGAGGAGTCTTCGTAAATGCCACGCAGTCAGTTTGAAATGGAAAGCAAAAGTGCAGCACACTACAGTAATTTCATTGGAGAAGGAGACAAGAAAGCGGGCTACTTAATGGGGAAAATGTGAGCTCAGTCCGTTGGCCACAACCGACAAGCTGTCAAAGAAAACCAATGTCTTTATTGTCAGCAAATCGCTTAATTTTGGATCCAATCCCCAGTAATGCTGTAGCACCAGCCAAGGTTGAAGAAAAGTTCGATTCTCTGTCCCGAAAATCACTAGTGGTTGCAATCAGCTGATGATAGATGGTATTCCACTGGACTGTTAAAAGTGTGGGACAAAGATTATTGGTGTTCACTGAATAAGCCACATAGTGTTTCGACCGGGCCTACTTAGCTCTACGTAACTGCGTTGGATTAAATTGCGGACCTAGCACGCCGCTACGCTCAAACTCTATTAGGCACAGAGGCTAGCAGATAAGTCTAGGTAACAACGGAATGTATTGTTATGCAGTGTTGCGTAAATAGGTTGATACGACTTAAAGCGTGTTATGGACTCACACTATCCTTACAGCGATTCCAGTATTCTCGTCATTCTACGACGAACGCCGCTAACTCTAGCTTATAAAACCTAGGTCAAACACCTCATTGACCTTCACGTTCAACACAAGCAGATGCTCTTGGTTTTTTATTAAATAGGATCCACTGAACCGCAACTTGTCTCATTAGTACTTATTGTTTGTTGCTTGATGCGGTGGCAGTGCTCACCATGTAGCTCTTACACTGAGGCCAGCCGATGGTTCTCAGGCCTTCGTGAGTCTGTATATCGATCTTTTTCTTTCGGGCTTACCGCAAATTCACAGGCTTACTCGCAGTAGCATATCTACCACCGCGCAGACCCAGTTTCCAGTGATACAGCTACTGTTGACAGGCGAAGCGGTACCAGATGCCATCGTAACATCCCTAACATTTAATATTGTCATCAAGAAAATGCACAAAAATGACCGTACTACAGCACGTTTCGTTGTAAAATGTCTAATAGATCACGTGACCTGATTCAAAGCTTATCCCACAAGAGTCGATATAGGTCACCGCCTTCGATCTGAGTAGAGGTTTAAACTAGCAAACAGCGTTGGATAAGTGGGCCAGAATGACCATTGCTTCCATTGCATAGAATCCCGTACACTCCATCGGAACTGAAGCATTTCCTATTATCCATATAAACGAAATAAGAATCCCCACAATGCTGACGGATGAAGAAATCAAGCAAAAACAGGTTAGTTTCCATTAGGTCATTGCGCAATCAGTGTGAAGTAGTTTGACTATTGTTACGCATGTGTTTATGTTTTTCTCAAGGGTTTGATGCGACAAAGCAGACCTGATTTTAAAGACGGAGTTTATAACACGGTTTTGCTTGTTATTTTAAAACCCGTAACGCGATCCAAAGATACCAGTGTTCAACCAGACTAGAACGTTTCAGTCCGAAGTCGAACGACGTGAATAATTATTTCACGAAAGGGCCAACTGCCTGAGACGGAACAAATTGTCTACTAGATAAGCGGACTGATTTGATTTTTTCTGTAGTAATTCCTGGGAATGTCGATTTCAGTCGGTCTAATATTTCACTAACAAGACTCATGAATTCCTCTGAGATGTGGAAAGATGAAAAGGCGTATTTGGTGTGTCCCATTATGGCAAACTTGATGAAATCACATACCAAAGCAGACCCATTGGGGACGAAAAATTGCCATGAAGCAGCAGCGTTAGGAAAAATCCATACTATGTAGAACATAACTGATGTTGTAATATTAATATTTATGTGGAAACTTGATAGTAGTGCAAACAAACCGCGTAAGTACTTCGTTCACACGAATTGAAGGAATGAAAAATTATCGTTTTTTGATAGAAAATTTGAAATGGAAAGGCCATTCGCCATTCCACAACAATCGTCCAAGTAACCCTAACGGTCTAAATTTGAATAAATTTTTGGCTTTTCGGAAACTTCGGGACACTAGCTTTGCCTACTGCTCAGTGGCCATTTCACAGATGGTAAGACATTTCGTCCCACATCTTCTCTTACATTGACTCTCACCCAGCTCTCATAAAAAGTCATTAGGTCTCAAGGATTGCCGGTAGAATGGAGACAAGAACTGTACACTGACTGTGCACCATAGTGCACTCATTGATAGTTCAGTGGTTCAGATGCATGGAAGTTATTCTTCTGATCTACAGGGGGTTAGAATGGAGACAAGAACTGTACACTGACTGTGCACCATAGTGCACTCATTGATAGTTCAGTGGTTCAGATGCATGGAAGTTATTCTTCTGATCTACAGGGGGTTAGAATGGAGACAAGAACTGTACACTGACTGTGCACCATAGTGCACTCATTGCTAGTTCAGTGGTTCAGATGCATGGAAGTTATTCTTCTGATCTACAGGGGGTTAGAATGGAGACAAGAACTGTACACTGACTGTGCACCATAGTGCACTCATTGCTAGTTCAGTGGTTCAGATGCATGGAAGTTATTCTTCTGATCTACAGGGGGTTAGAATGGAGACAAGAACTGTACACTGACTGTGCACCATAGTGCACTCATTGCTAGTTCAGTGGTTCAGATGCATGGAAGTTATTCTTCTGATCTACAGGGGGTTAGAATGGAGACAAGAACTGTACACTGACTGTGCACCATAGTGCACTCATTGCTAGTTCAGTGGTTCAGATGCATGGAAGTTATTCTTCTGATCTACAGGGGGTTAGAATGGAGACAAGAACTGTACACTGACTGTGCACCATAGTGCACTCATTGCTAGTTCAGTGGTTCAGATGCATGGAAGTTATTCTTCTGATCTACAGGGGGTTAGAATGGAGACAAGAACTGTACACTGACTGTGCACCATAGTGCACTCATTGCTAGTTCAGTGGTTCAGATGCATGGAAGTTATTCTTCTGATCTACAGGGGGTTAGAATGGAGACAAGAACTGTACACTGACTGTGCACCATAGTGCACTCATTGCTAGTTCAGTGGTTCAGATGCATGGAAGTTATTCTTCTGATCTACAGGGGGTTAGAATGGAGACAAGAACTGTACACTGACTGTGCACCATAGTGCACTCATTGCTAGTTCAGTGGTTCAGATGCATGGAAGTTATTCTTCTGATCTACAGGGGGTTAGAATGGAGACAAGAACTGTACACTGACTGTGCACCATAGTGCACTCATTGCTAGTTCAGTGGTTCAGATGCATGGAAGTTATTCTTCTGATCTACAGGGGGTTAGAATGGAGACAAGAACTGTACACTGACTGTGCACCATAGTGCACTCATTGCTAGTTCAGTGGTTCAGATGCATGGAAGTTATTCTTCTGATCTACAGGGGGTTAGAATGGAGACAAGAACTGTACACTGACTGTGCACCATAGTGCACTCATTGCTAGTTCAGTGGTTCAGATGCATGGAAGTTATTCTTCTGATCTACAGGGGGTTAGAATGGAGACAAGAACTGTACACTGACTGTGCACCATAGTGCACTCATTGCTAGTTCAGTGGTTCAGATGCATGGAAGTTATTCTTCTGATCTACAGGGGGTTAGAATGGAGACAAGAACTGTACACTGACTGTGCACCATAGTGCACTCATTGCTAGTTCAGTGGTTCAGATGCATGGAAGTTATTCTTCTGATCTACAGGGGGTTAGAATGGAGACAAGAACTGTACACTGACTGTGCACCATAGTGCACTCATTGCTAGTTCAGTGGTTCAGATGCATGGAAGTTATTCTTCTGATCTACAGGGGGTTAGAATGGAGACAAGAACTGTACACTGACTGTGCACCATAGTGCACTCATTGCTAGTTCAGTGGTTCAGATGCATGGAAGTTATTCTTCTGATCTACAGGGGGTTAGAATGGAGACAAGAACTGTACACTGACTGTGCACCATAGTGCACTCATTGCTAGTTCAGTGGTTCAGATGCATGGAAGTTATTCTTCTGATCTACAGGGGGTTAGAATGGAGACAAGAACTGTACACTGACTGTGCACCATAGTGCACTCATTGCTAGTTCAGTGGTTCAGATGCATGGAAGTTATTCTTCTGATCTACAGGGGGTTAGAATGGAGACAAGAACTGTACACTGACTGTGCACCATAGTGCACTCATTGCTAGTTCAGTGGTTCAGATGCATGGAAGTTATTCTTCTGATCTACAGGGGGTTAGAATGGAGACAAGAACTGTACACTGACTGTGCACCATAGTGCACTCATTGCTAGTTCAGTGGTTCAGATGCATGGAAGTTATTCTTCTGATCTACAGGGGGTTAGAATGGAGACAAGAACTGTACACTGACTGTGCACCATAGTGCACTCATTGCTAGTTCAGTGGTTCAGATGCATGGAAGTTATTCTTCTGATCTACAGGGGGTTAGAATGGAGACAAGAACTGTACACTGACTGTGCACCATAGTGCACTCATTGCTAGTTCAGTGGTTCAGATGCATGGAAGTTATTCTTCTGATCTACAGGGGGTTAGAATGGAGACAAGAACTGTACACTGACTGTGCACCATAGTGCACTCATTGCTAGTTCAGTGGTTCAGATGCATGGAAGTTATTCTTCTGATCTACAGGGGGTTAGAATGGAGACAAGAACTGTACACTGACTGTGCACCATAGTGCACTCATTGCTAGTTCAGTGGTTCAGATGCATGGAAGTTATTCTTCTGATCTACAGGGGGTTAGAATGGAGACAAGAACTGTACACTGACTGTGCACCATAGTGCACTCATTGCTAGTTCAGTGGTTCAGATGCATGGAAGTTATTCTTCTGATCTACAGGGGGTTAGAATGGAGACAAGAACTGTACACTGACTGTGCACCATAGTGCACTCATTGCTAGTTCAGTGGTTCAGATGCATGGAAGTTATTCTTCTGATCTACAGGGGGTTAGAATGGAGACAAGAACTGTACACTGACTGTGCACCATAGTGCACTCATTGCTAGTTCAGTGGTTCAGATGCATGGAAGTTATTCTTCTGATCTACAGGGGGTTAGAATGGAGACAAGAACTGTACACTGACTGTGCACCATAGTGCACTCATTGCTAGTTCAGTGGTTCAGATGCATGGAAGTTATTCTTCTGATCTACAGGGGGTTAGAATGGAGACAAGAACTGTACACTGACTGTGCACCATAGTGCACTCATTGCTAGTTCAGTGGTTCAGATGCATGGAAGTTATTCTTCTGATCTACAGGGGGTTAGAATGGAGACAAGAACTGTACACTGACTGTGCACCATAGTGCACTCATTGCTAGTTCAGTGGTTCAGATGCATGGAAGTTATTCTTCTGATCTACAGGGGGTTAGAATGGAGACAAGAACTGTACACTGACTGTGCACCATAGTGCACTCATTGCTAGTTCAGTGGTTCAGATGCATGGAAGTTATTCTTCTGATCTACAGGGGGTTAGAATGGAGACAAGAACTGTACACTGACTGTGCACCATAGTGCACTCATTGCTAGTTCAGTGGTTCAGATGCATGGAAGTTATTCTTCTGATCTACAGGGGGTTAGAATGGAGACAAGAACTGTACACTGACTGTGCACCATAGTGCACTCATTGCTAGTTCAGTGGTTCAGATGCATGGAAGTTATTCTTCTGATCTACAGGGGGTTAGAATGGAGACAAGAACTGTACACTGACTGTGCACCATAGTGCACTCATTGCTAGTTCAGTGGTTCAGATGCATGGAAGTTATTCTTCTGATCTACAGGGGGTTAGAATGGAGACAAGAACTGTACACTGACTGTGCACCATAGTGCACTCATTGCTAGTTCAGTGGTTCAGATGCATGGAAGTTATTCTTCTGATCTACAGGGGGTTAGAATGGAGACAAGAACTGTACACTGACTGTGCACCATAGTGCACTCATTGCTAGTTCAGTGGTTCAGATGCATGGAAGTTATTCTTCTGATCTACAGGGGGTTAGAATGGAGACAAGAACTGTACACTGACTGTGCACCATAGTGCACTCATTGCTAGTTCAGTGGTTCAGATGCATGGAAGTTATTCTTCTGATCTACAGGGGGTTAGAATGGAGACAAGAACTGTACACTGACTGTGCACCATAGTGCACTCATTGCTAGTTCAGTGGTTCAGATGCATGGAAGTTATTCTTCTGATCTACAGGGGGTTAGAATGGAGACAAGAACTGTACACTGACTGTGCACCATAGTGCACTCATTGCTAGTTCAGTGGTTCAGATGCATGGAAGTTATTCT